GAAAGGAAAAATAATTTCTGGGCTTTTCGTTTTGAATTCTTGGCCACACTGTTTCAGTCGGCGCGTGGTGGTAATTCAGGTGGCGCGTGTTTGTTACGCTCTTCCTTTCATGGTTTTGCTCTGTGGATTGGAATCGGGAATCCCTCGCCGGAACTCTATCGGCTCCCGATAATTTAATGGCATCCGCCGTGTTGGTGAATCGGAGCGATTCAAATTGGCCGTCGCAGCCGAAAGGGAGTGTTGCCAAATTCATGGGCAAGGTCCCCTTCAAAGGAACAAAACCAAACCCTAAATTCAACAAGAAGCGTCAATTTCACAATCATTTGGCACCACCAGATGACGTTACTGGCCATGTCGTCGATGATTATCCTGCCGTGACCCAATCCGCAGCTTCTGATGATGCGTCATCAATTAATCGGAAGCTGAGCGATTTCAACCCTGGCGCCTTCGTTAACTTCCGTATCAGCTCTTATTCGAGGAAAGAGTTGATTGATCTGAAAATTCAGCTAGTTACAGAGTTGGAACAGATTCGTGAATTGAGTAATCGAATTGATTCGAATGATTTTCACGTTAGATCCAGCTCCAACAAGAAAGCGTTATCCAAGAAGAACATTTCCGGCAACAAACGGCCTTTCCCCTCAAATTTAAGCAAAGAATTGAAGAGATTAGATCCTCAAGAGAATGGAAAAGCATCAATTGGTCATTTGATGAAAAGTTGTTCCCAAATATTGAACAAATTGATGAAAAACAAGCATGGGCACATCTTTAATTCGCCGGTGGATGTGGTCGGAATGGGTCTTCATGATTATTACAATATAATCATGAAACCGATGGATCTGGGCACGGTGAAATCGAGGATGGGAAAGAATTTTTATGGGTCTCCCTTGGAATTTGCGGCGGATGTGAGGCTCACCTTCAATAACGCCATGCTGTATAACCCTAAGGGGCACGAGGTTTATGTGTTGGCTGAGCAATTACTTGCAAAATTTGAGGAGTTGTTTCGGCCGTTGAGCTTGAAATTGGAGGAGCAAGATGAGCCATATCTGGGTTATTACGAGGAAAGGTTGCAGGCGAGTTCTTGGAATCATGGCGAAGCCGATAGGTTGAAGAACGATGGGGAAATGGAGGCTGAGAGGATAATGGTCGATAGGTCAGATTCAGCTAATTTTGTTGCAAGATCTGATAGAAATGGAGGGGTTTCGGGCTTTGTTCCAAACCAAAATCCACCACAACAGATGCAATCTCAGGTGCCGACCAGGGTGGCTTCGCCAGTAAGGCCGCCCTCGTTCAAGCCATTGAAGCAGCCGAAGCCAAAGGCCAAGGATCTGAACAAGAGGGAAATGAGTATGGAGGAGAAGCAAAAATTGGGGATGGGATTGCAGAGTTTACCGCAGGAGAAGATGGATAATGTGGTTCAGATTATAATGAAAAGGAATGGGCATTTGAGGCAGGACGGGGATGAGATTGAACTTGATATCGAGGCAATGGACACGGAGACGTTGTGGGAGTTGGACCGGTTTGTCACTAATTACAAGAAGATGGTCAGCAAGATGAAGCGGCAGGCATTGATGGCAAACAATGCAGTAACTAATGACAGCTATAGGGTAAGCACTAAGCACATTGTGATTGCTTGATGGTTACTAATAGTTATTACCTTATGGTATGAATTTATGACTGTTCTGATCGGAAAATGCAGGAAGAGGCGGGTACCGAGAAGTTTGAGGTTCCAATGGAGATGAAGCCAAAGAAAGTTGATGCTGGAGAGGAAGATGTAGATATTGGGGATGAAATGCCAATGAGTAGTTTCCCACCTGTGGAGATTGAGAAGGACAATGATGGTGCTAGTAGCAGTTCTAGCAGCTCCAGCAGTTCGAGCAGTGATTCGTCGTCTTCAAGCGGTATGTCTGGATGTTTTAGAATGAGTGTTCATCGATGAAGGAATAAAAGAGGAAATGCTTATCATGTAATGTAATTTGAACAGGTTCAGATTCTGGGAGTTCTTCGGGAAGTGAATCGGATGCAGATGATGCCCGATCTTAAAAGGATGAGCTATTTGATTTTGAAGCTTGTGAACTGAGATTTGGGGTGGGGGTGTAGATGAGGGTAGAGTTTGCTAACATTTGCTAACATACTGGAAAAATAGATTTGGATTCCAAATACCACATTTTGCTTTCTTTGACAAGAACGACCTTAAAACCTCACTGTTTTTCTTATGGAAACCTGAATTCCATTCTAGTGATGAATTCTCAATGCTCTAGGATCTATTAACTTTAATGGATTTATTTAAGCTTAAAAGAAGCAATAAACGAATCATTCAAGCCATCAAAACATGTAAATTTAAGCTTGATCGTTCAATTGAATTATTTTTCTGAATTAATATATATAGGCTCAACTATTCATTAGAACCATCAAATACCGTGCAGTCGTCTAATGTTAAAATCTAAGACCTCTAAACATAACATCCATCTCTTTTAAAGAAGCTTGGTTCGCGCAACTTTTTTAAAATGTTACAAAAATTTGAAGATTGATCATGCTATTTTATTTTAAAAAATAAAGACACAAGAACGAAAAAAGCGTAACCCGTCTTGGTTCAGTTATTTTTGTCAGAAACAAAAGAAGCAGCTATGGTTGATGAATAATATGTACAAGACATTGTTTTTGTTGTACATAAAAGCAAATTTCCTGTATTATACGCATGGAGACGTGTTTGGGCAGAAATGGTTGACATAGTTAACTTACAAAGCTTTCAAAATAGTGACAGCAATGGGGCGTCCATTAATATTTTCATCATCAAAATCAGCTTATATAAATAAACAAAAGGATGCTCAACAAAATCCCTCAATCTCTTAGGTAAATTATGCCTGCATGACAACAAATTATCACTCACTGTGACCAATAATGCAAAAACTAAATGAAAATTTGTATCTCACCTATGGCTACGGAGGCTTCAGCAACCATCAGAAGCCATTCGAGTTGCAGCGGCAATAGTTTGGTTACTGTGAGAACAAGCACCACAGGAAAGCCAAAAGCCAAAATCAGGATTCCTTGGTAAGCTGTTTCCACAAATATTTGATTTATCTGATAGCTCTCTCTCTCATTCGAGATTCATCAACTTGAGAAAAACGGAACCAAGCTGAGACTCGCAGGCAGAAACAGTTTCGGGTCTCAAACATCTCAGAAAAGCCTTGGTTAAGTCTAGTGATGTTATCATCTGGAAGATCTTCTTGGATAGGGTGCTTGCAGATTTCTCTCTCTTGAATGGTTTTGATGCCAACTTCAAGTTTTTCTCCGACAGAGATCCGAGAGTAGACAGCGGCACGGATTCATCCTTCGGCAACTTCTTTTCTTTGAATACCTTTCTTTGAATGATTCCCCATATACGCTGTCCGAGTTGTTCACTGCCTTCTGTAGTATGTGGATTTACAAATGCCTGAGCCAGGTTCGAGTATACTGTCAGGACCTGAGGCTTACCTGAATTGAAAAGATCATGAAGACAAACTTCTTAGATTCTTGTACATAAGTTGTAAGGTTAAAAAGAAACACTTCTTGAATGAAGTTCAGATCACAAAAATTAACATTTCTAAGCTCGCACAATAACAAATAGACGAAACCGATAGGAATTGTCGCATAATGAACTTGCCTCGATTTTCATGCAAGTAAATTTCCAGAAGCGAAAGAACTCTAGTTTGAACAGGACAAGCTGGGACTGAGCAGCTTCGCTACCTGCCTGATTTTTTTTCTCTGTAAAGATCAGAGCAAGATAAGTGTCCATGGGGAACATAGCATCGTCATCCATTCCTCCATCAGACTAATCAGAATCTTCAGAGGATCTTTATCATCCTCCTCACTGCCAACTACTGCCTCAGAGTCTTCCGATTGTTCGTCAATGTCAGCTGTTTCACCAGTCTCAGATTCATCTATATCTTCATCTTCCTCATTACTGAGAAGGTCGTCGTCGTCATTGCCATCATCGTCACTGCCTATTTCCTGATGTCTAGCAGGTTTTAGGTCTTTCTTAATTATCCGCAACATCATCAGTAACATCGCCACAGAAACATCTGAAAACCTATATATAATACATGCCAAATAAAATATAAATGATTTTTTTGTTAAGACACTTATAACAAGAAAAAGAGAAAACAACTCCAAGATGCTCTAACAAAATCAAGAAAAAATATTACGAATAGAATTAATAAGTGAAAGCAACAAACATTAAAGGGTGAAATAAAAATTAAGGAATTGCAAAACCAAATAAAGGTGCATTGACGATCTTCAACATCACATAAAAATGAATTAAGTTATTGTCGCGCACCTGTTCAATAGCAGAACGCATAGGGGCGGATGACTGTGGCAGCAAGGAAAGTAAAGTATCCACAAGAACATCCATCAATTCTGGTGCTGCATCACCATTTGACTCATCTTCTCCAGATGAGTCAGGATCCTCAGGAGCTGCAAAAGCTTTCTTATAACATATGATAAGCTCAGAGGCTGCATCACAGAATTCCCCAGGTCGGAGGAGCACTTGGAGTAGCAATAGGATGAGCAAGTACCTCAATACATGCAATTTATTTGCATCATTGCCAAGCCTGCAATTCCTTTCCTGCCATTATTTAAGCATTTAGAAACAATAAATAATTGCAAAAGTAAGTATAGCAAACAAGTTCATAACTAAACTTACAAATTCATAAACACACAAGATCAACAGTTAAAGAAGCATTCCTATTGTTATTCACCAAGGATAAAGCCACTTCCCTCCACATCAATATACCACAAATCCAAGTGCTAAGAAATTTTCATGGGAGTGAGACCACATGCCTAGCCGTTGCGAGACACCACAAGAAGATATAATTGTGAGCTGTTACTATTGTAAATATTAGAGTTTATTTAAAATTAGTGATAGAGATAAAATCTTATCTCTTGATAACAGAAGATAAGGTTTGTATGTTTAAATAACTCCCAGCAGTAGTTAAACTCATGTATCTTTAAATAGACTCTGTATTTTATCTACAAGATATAGAAAAACACAATGCTCTCTTGAGTTTCCACATGATATTAGTCTAGGGATCGATCTCTCCAATAGGATCGATGGTTTTCCCTTCTGAATCTTCTGGCGCTAACTCATCGGCAGATTCCCTTCAAACTGTCGACGATTTCCCAGAGCTCTCTAGCGCAACAGTCATCTGCCATCATTTTGTCGGCCACAACTACTTTCCGTGGTCTCAATCAGTCAAGATTTTCCTTACTAGACTGGGAAAACTTGGCTATATATCCGGAGAGATTCCGAAACCTTTTTCAACAGACCCATTTTTTGAGAAGTGGGTACGTGAGAATGGTCGGGTGATGTCTTGGTTGATTAACACCATGTCTCCTGACATTGGTACCAATTTTCTTCTCTACGAAACCGCTACAGATATATGGGAAGCTGTTCGGGAGACATATTCCAGTACAGACATGAGACAACACCTCTGAGTTGTTCGATATTGAGAGTAAGGCATCGAATTTAAAGCATGATGGCTTCCGTGTTACTGAATTTTTTCATACTTTGTCTGGTCTGTGGCAGCAACTTGATTTGTATGCTGTTCATAATTGGGAAACTCCCAAAGATGCAGCCTTGTATAAACAGATACAAGCACAGAGAAGGGTTTTTCAATTTCTTAATGGCCTGAACGATGACTGGATGCTGTGAAGGCACGAATCCTTGAAACTAAACCTGCTCTTTCCCTTCGGGAAGTCTTTGCGGAAGTCAGAAGAGAAGAGAGTAGGAGATCCTTCATGCTGCCTTCGGTTCCTATCGCTGAGAATTCTGCCTTGGTTACTCAGTCTTCTTCTTCATCTCGGACTAAGAAGGGCCGGCCTGTTTGTGATTTTTGCAAGAAAGTTGGACATTTGAAGGACCAGTGCTGGAAACTTCATGGTAAACCTGGCAAATGGAAGCCTTCTTCCCCGCGAACACCTCACGAGTCCCACTCCAAGATCGACAACCCTGTGAGTAATGGTGTTTTCTCACAGGAACAGATTGCTGTCCTCCAAAAGATGTTTAGTAGCATGGGAGACTCCCGTAAAGCCAATGTGGTTCTGACAGAAGAAGAAGGTACACAACATGGTTTCTTTCCTACTGCCCTTTTAGCAAATCAAGATGATCCGGCATGGATTATTGACTCAGGAGCCTCAGACCATATGATTGGCAACAAAACATTGTTTTCTACGTTTTTACCATCCTGCTCTAAGCAGTTTATTAAAACTGTCGATGGGTCGTTATCTCCTATTAAAGGTTCTGTTATTCTTAATAAGGATATTATGCTTAGGGATGTCCTTTTCGTACCTAATCTTGCTTGTAATTTGTTGTCTGTGAGTAAACTCTCTAAGGATTTGCACTGTTGCTCACGATTTACCAATACTGGTTGTATTTTGCAGGCACTGGATTCGAGGAAGACGGTTGGCAATGCTAGACTGCACAATGGGCTCTATCTTCTTTATGGCACTCTTTTTTTGCATTCTTCAGCTCTTTCTAGTTGTGTTACTCCTTTAGACCAACATGATCAAATAATGTTATGGCATTTCAGGCATGGCCACCCTAATTTTTCTTATCTTGCTAAACTCCTTCCTCATTTGTTTATTAATAAAAAATCACAGTTATTTAAATGTCATATTTGTCCACTTGCTAAGCAAACGAAATCCTCTTATCTCACATCTCCTTATAAAACATCACACCCGTTTGCTTTAATCCATAGTGACATATGGGGACCCTCTACAGTGAAGAATATTAATGGGTGTAGATGGTTTGTTTCCTTCATTGATAATCATAGCAGAACAACATGGACTTACCTAACGAAGGATAAATCTGAAACTATGTTTATTTTTGAACGGTTCTATACTATGGTTGAAACTCAATTTCAAAGTCACATTAAAATATTTCAGTCTAATAATGGGGGAGAGTTCTTTGCTAGTGCTTTGGGTGAGTTCTTTAAGAAAAAAGGCATTGTTCAAATTAACTCCTGTGTGGATACATCACAACAAAACGGATTTGCAGAGCGTAAAAATATACTTTTATTGGAGTTAACTCGATCCTTGTTATTTTTTGGGAATATGCCAAAATATTTGTGGGGAAAGGCCTTATTAACTGCCACTTATATGATCAATTGTATGCCTAGTAAGGTTCTTAAGTTTTGAACACCTAAAGATGTTTTCTTGGAGAGTTTTCCTTCTTTCAAACCGGTTTCTTCTATTTTATCTCTTCGGATCTTTGGTTGTACTGTTTTTGTTAAAATTTTGGATCCTTCTAAGTCTAAATTGGATCCTAGGGCTCTAAACTGTGTTTTTGTGGGTTATTCCTCACTTTGAAAGGGCTACAAATGTTACTACCCTCCTACTAAGAAACCTTTTATTTCCATGGATGTTACGTTTTTTTGAACATGATCCTTATTTTTCCAAGGCTCTAATTCAGGGGGAGACTTGGACAGAATTTCAGCCTTGTTAGGTACATCCATTCTTTTTTTCTTCTTCTATACCTTTAAATGATTTGCCCACTGCATCTTCTAAACATACTTATGTTCATTCTTCAACTCCCGTTGCTGCCCCTTTACCAACACCGCCACTTTTTTCACTTCCTAAAACGGTTCATCAGAATGTACAAACTCCTAAACAGCTTAGAGTTCATACTAGAAAGGAAAAAGCCAAGAGTTGGATTTGAATCCAACTGCCTTGGAAGATGATGGTGGTAAGGAAACTTCTCTTGGTTTTTCGAATGTGGAAGATTTAAGTCCAACTGCCTTAGAAGATGATGGTGATAAGGAAACTTCTCTTGGTTTATGATATGGAAGATTTACCTATTGCAAAAAGAAAGGGAACTAGACAGTGCACTAAATATCCCATTCAAAAATATGTTGCTTATGGTAACTTAATGCCTTCATTTAGAGGTTTGACAGCCTGTATTGATAAAGAGAAAATCACGACAACCATTGAAGTTGCTTTGAAAGACCTATGTGGAAAAGGGCTGTTGAGGAGGAAATTCGAGCACTTGAGAAGAATGGCACTTGGACCGTTACTGCAAGAAATCGGTTGGTAGTAAATGGGTCTTTGCGATTAAGTATAATTCCGATGGTAGTATAGAGAGGTACAAAGCCAGACTTGTAGCTAAGGGTTTTACGCAAACCTATGGTATTGACTACAAGAAGACTTTTGCACCGGTGGCAAACCTAAATATTGTTAGAGTGCTCTTGAGTCTTGAGGTGAACAAAGATTGGAGTCTCCGCCAACTTGACATAAAGAATGCTTTTTTTGAATGGCAAGTTACAAGAAGAAGTCTACATGAAGATGTCACCTGGAATGAAGTCTGAACTAGGAGGTCATAAGGTTTGTAAACTTGAAAAAACTTTGTATGGTTTAAAACAGTCTCTTAAGGCCCGGTTTGACAGGTTTACCAAGGTCCTTATAGAGAATGGGTACAAGCAGTGTCAAGCGGACCATACTTTGTTCATTAAAATTAATTCTGTTAGAGTGCTCTTTAGTCTTGCGGTGAACAGAGATTGGAGTCTCCACCAACTTGACATAAAGAATGCTTTTTTTGAACGGAAAGTTACAAGAAGAAATCTACATGAAGATGTCACCTGGAATGAAGTCTAAACTAGCAGGTCATAAGGTTTGTAAACTTGAAAAAACCTTGTATGGTTTAAAATAGTCTCTTAGGGCCTGGTTTGATAGGTTTACCAAGGTCCTTATAGAGAATGGGTACAAGCAGTGTCAAGCGGACCATACTTTGTTCGTTAGAATTAATTCTAACAAGGAAAAAATTATTCTCATTGTTTATGTTCATGATATTGTAGTGATAGGAGATGATGGTGGAATAAATCAGTTGAAGAGGTTATTGAACAGAGTATTTGAAACAAAGGACTTGGGGGAAATTTAGGTATTTCCTAGGCATGGAGGTTGCTCGATCAAGCAGGGGTTTGGTTATAAACCAGAGAGAATATGTTCTTGACTGACTCTCAGGAGCTGGCATGTTAGGATGTAAGCCTGCTGATACTCCTATAGAAACAGACTTAAAGCTTAGAGGAGAAGAAATTGGGGCTGCAATCAATAAGAATCAGTTCCAAAGGTTGGTGGGAAAACTTATTTACTTATCCCTAACCATACCCGATATTTCTTTTCCTGTGAATGTGATCAGTCAGTTTAAGATCGATCCGAGAGGACATCTAGAATCTGCTAATCGAATTCTAAGGTACCTAAAAGGTACACCAGGACACAAGTTGTTCTTCAAGAAAACTAGAGATAGAACTGTAAAAATATTCACAAATTCTAGTTGGGCTAGTGAGGTTACTAAAGGAGGATCGACAAGTGGATACTACTCATTCGTATGGGGCAACTTAGATACTTGGAGAAGTAAGAAACAAAATATCGTTTCTAGGAGCAATGTCAAGGCAGAGTATAGAGCCTTATCATTGGGAATCTATGAAGGCATGTGGCTGTTGCGACTACTAAAGAAGTTGGACATAGAGCATGAAGGGTACTTAGAACTCTTCAGTGATAATCAATCGTCTATTCAAATTGCGAAAAATCCTAGCCATCATGATCATACTAAGCATGTGGAGACTGATAGACACTTTATTGCAGAAAAAGTGAATGGTGGGATAGTAAACTTGACTTATGTACTCACTAAAGCTCTATCCAAACAAGTTTTCGAGAAGTTTCTATCCAAGCTGGGTTTATACAATGTATATACTCAAGAGAGTGTGAGTTGTTACTATTGTAAATATTAGAGTTTATTTAAAATTAGTGATAGAGAATAGAGATAAAATCTTTTCTCTTGATAACATAAGATAAGGTTTGTATATTTAAATAACTCCTAGTAGTAGTTAAACTCTTGTACTCGTAAGTCTTTAATAGACTGTATTTTATCTACAAGATATAGAAAAACACTCACTATTCTCGTGAGTTTACAAATTGTTTGAGAACTTGGAACTATTAAAGAAAATAGCCTAAAAAATTGGGAACATGCCAAAAGTAAAGGATGAGATCACACTTACCTCTTTATAAAGTTTACTCTCCATTTCTAGCAATTTTGTGACTGACAGTTTATCCGCATCACTCAAAGTTCGAAATAAAGAAACTGAAGGAATATTGCGAAATGTGCTAAAGAACCGCATGAAGTAGGAACCAGGGTCATTTGGCTCAAGCGCATTAGCCAAAGATCGTGGCTCTTCAACCTTTGGAGCACTTGCCAGCAGTGATTGGAGCTGTTCTATGCAAATTTTGCAAAGAGCAGTCGAGGTTGTTGTTTTTGGCCATCTAAATTTCTCCTGTAATTCAAATGAAGTAACTTCATTACCAAGAGATGAGAATAGACCTTGTACAGATAGAAACTTCAATATTTCCCTTTGCGCTCGGAATTTTGCTTCAGGGTCCAACTTTAAATGTTTCAGAACACTGGCAAGTGATACTATGACCCAGCCTTTAAAAAAAATCAGCATTCCCCACAGTTCCAACAGAATCCTTGTCCTTGATTGAACCAATCTCAGAATTCTCATCGGTTGCTTGACTCTGATCTGAAGGCTCCTCGGAACCATGGCCTTCATCCAAAAACAAGTTAACCAAGTTCTGAACAAACAGCATGCAACCACTCCATGTTTTGAACTCCGCCATCAAATATTTGACTGTTTTTGTCTTTGTAATGCAATCAAATTCTCCACTGCTGTGCTTCTGAAAGGCAACAATAACAGCCACTCGTCTGACATCGTCATTCCTAACCCAGTCTAATAATTCTTTAAGAAAATGCTGAGCAACTTTATAAAGCCAGGAATCTTTCGTGGAAAGTATATCCATCAAGCACTGAATAACTTTGGAGGACAAAACAATTGGTATAAAAGAAGGCAGGAGAAGAAGCAGAATATCAAATACTAAGGTGGCGTTTGGTTCGCTAGAATGTTTACGAGGGAATTGAAATCTGTGAAGTAATTGGAATCCAATTTTATATTCTGCTTGGTTGGTAGGAAAAAGAATTGGAATCCAATTTTATATTCTGTTTGGTTCGCAGATATGTCAGATAAATTTGATTTCAGTAATGTAAAATGACAGAATTGTCTTTATTGTTTTTTGCTTTATTTTAGTTTGTTTTACAACTTACATATAGTAATATATTATAAAAAATTTAAAATATTAATTTTTCGTTTTATTGAATGATTATTTATTTAAATAAATTATAAAAATCATGCTAATAAATATTATAAGTTAAAATCATCGCAATTAAAATATGTTAATAAGTTACCAAAAGATAGAGCAATATTTCGATACATTTCAATCAGAGTATGTTAATTAGTTACCAAATAATATACCAAAAATTATTTTTATTCAATATATGAATTAAAAACCAAACCCGACACGACACAAAATAATAAAAAGATTATTTTTATTCAATAAAAATATTGACTTAATTGAAAAAATTATATATAGAGGGATATTATTCTAATTATTCCTAAATATATAAGGTAAAATTATATTTTTTTTTCGGGTCGGTCATGTTTTTTTCACCCTAAACCTGAGCTCGACCCGACCCGAATATCACACTTAAAAAAACCCGATCCGACCCGACCCGACCCGAATATCACACTTAAAAAACCCGACCCGGACAAAATAAAGTTTTACCCGACCCGACCCGAATATATGAATTAGAAATCCGACCGACCCGAAATAATAAAAAATTATTTTTATTCAATAAAAACAGTGACTTAATTGAAAAAAATATATATAGAGGGGTATTATTGTAATTATTCCTAAATATATAAGGTAAAATTATATATATTTTCCGGTCGGGTAT